ATATCCAAAGCAGCTGATATTTTCTATCTACATGCTAAACAAAATCTTAAACAAAGTATAGCTTTCGAATATGCAGTATTAGGCTTGGATGGGGCCATCCCTCTCTTGGAGCATGGTTTTTTTTTTTCTTTTGTCCTAAGGTATGTTGCAACTGTTTTAGTGAAATGTAACTTGAAATGAAATAAAAGGTAAGACTGTGGGAAAACATGAATTTTGGAGGCAGACTACTTCCTATTCTTCTTGCTGAGGAAAAGGGCAGGGTGTTGCCTTCAGCAAATGAGCTTCTTTCTTCACCAGAGGAGTACCATCAGTGAAAAATGGGTCTTTGTCCCATTGAAAAACATATCTTTGTGGCAGTGGCTGCAACAAAAGGTTTGTTACATGTCCGTATAGCAGGCATTCAAACCAAGTCAGGTTTAAGTTCACTCCTTTAACCTTTATTAATAAAAGAGAGGCGTTACTTTATCAGCAGAACACCAGTAGTTGACCGTTCATAACACAAAGTTACTAAAGAAAGACTAGTCTAACTCTGAATGTGACAAAGCTCTTAGGACTCAGCTTCTATAGGGGCATGCTTCCCTTTCATAGGTTTCCCTGGAGGCACTCAGCCTGAAGTTTTGGAGATTCACAAGATAACTGGCCTATCTACATTAAAGTATTCTTCCTGTAGCCTATGCTGCCCCTTTACCAGGCTGTGCTCAGCTCACAGCTCTGGGGCACTTTGGTTGAAGGCCTGGCAGACACTGTATGTGCACAACACAGAAATACCTCATGGATGCCATCTAGGTTACAGACAAGAGAACACCTTAGATTGCCAAGTGTTCTCCATCTCCATACCTGCAGAGCCGCTGTCACTGCAGCCACAGCTGGCTTGTCTGCCATTTGTACAAGTGAAAGGGCCATGGCTTCCCAAATCCATTTTCTTGTTTCTGTGTTAAGCTAAAAGTTCTCACTGAGAACTCGTGGCATGAAACACTGCTCAGACCTGGTTGGAAAAGGGTTGCAGCTGCTCCCTTGGCCGCCTGCTGCCTTTGGCACTCACTCACACTTGCCCATAGGCACACGTAAATAGCAGCTGGCCCATGCTGGAGCTTTCTTGTGCACCAAGCCCCAAACACAGCCCTTTGCTGTCCTGCTTTGCAATAGCAAGGTTAACTTGGTGCAGCAAACTCAGCCAGCTTCCTTTTGCATCACTCTGAGGAAGGCGAACACTGGTCCTCAAAGATGGACATGAGAATTAATAAGTAACACTGACAAGAGGTCAGGGGGATTTGTCACGTAGCAGCTAATAAGCAATGTCTTTGTTGAAAATACACATGAAAAGAACAGACAGGCGTACAGATTGCGCTCCATGGTTGTGTAAGATGGAGTGACACGGTCAGGGACATTAACTCTCCCCAGGCAGGGCGGCAGGGCAGCTGCCCTCTTACCCATGGCCATGGGAAGCCATCAGCCCTCACTGCTACCCCTGGGATCACACACGTGTGCTGCATCCGGGCTCAGGAGAGCTGCAGACAACCTTGCTGAGCCGACCCCGTCCCCTGGCCCCCGTCAGCAGTGCCATGCCATACTGCGCACAGCTGCATCTCCCCTTGTGACACATCTGAAAATTAGGTGTCTGTTGGGCAAGAGCAGGCTTTCATCCTCAAAGGCCTTCATAAATAAGCTTATGATGGAGAAAAAATAGTCCTTGCTAGGGTCTGCAGTTCATAGGCGAAGAAATTATGGGAAGATCTGGCAGTGAAGCTGCGATGGTGTTTGAGAGCTCCTGCTTGTGATACACGTGGGAAAATAACTGAAGGACCACGGACGTGGGGAAGCTTGACCCCTATAACACTGCCAAGGACACAGAGATCTTTGGTGGCTTGCTTAGCAAGCATTAGTCAGAAAAGCATCTGGTTCAGCTCAAACCTGTAGGTTGCATTTTCTCAAAAAAAAAAAAAAAAAAAAAAAGAAAGGAAAAAGGAAATATGAACAGAACATCTTTTTTTGTAGGAGGGCCTGCCTTCTTTTCTGCTTTCCTCAGCCTGTTGTTGTGTAAATCACTCTGTTACATCCAGCAAATTAACTGCACGTGCTGCAGCGTGCGGTGGGAGGGCTGCTGCGGGTTTGTCCATTTCAATAGGAGTGGGATGCAGTGTCACTTCATTTAACCCACACCAAATGCTGCCTGAGAACCCTGAAAAGTTATTCAGCAATAACTTTCAATCCCATCTCCAGGAAGGAAAAAAAATAAAATAGTTTTGAACAGTAAAGTTGGAGCCCATAGTTGCAATAAAATCCAGGAACAGGTTATTTTACCTGAATTTATCGCTTAGCAACCAAGAAACTACCTCCTGAGATTGCCATTCGTGGGTTACCAAGTAACTGGCTGTGACAATTACCAAACAGCTGTCCCAGGAATCTACATAGCCTTTAACCTCCGTCAGCTGAGAGATGGGCTGATGACAGCTAACAAACAATAGGAACACACCCTAATATTTTATTTAAGAGCTGAGGGAAGCCACAGCTGTATGGATCTTTCAGCCAGCTGGATTTAACTGCTTCGGACCACGCTGTGCTGAGAGGTGTATGCAGGGCTTCTTCCTAACTTTGTGTCTGAGAATTGATTCCATCCTGCCAAGATAGGTTTTGCTAATGTACAGGAATGCTAAGCTGCTCGTTGTGAGGTGGTTTATAATGTTCTTCCATTCATTTATTGTTGGGGTTTACGGAATGATACTGTTTTTGCTAATTATTAGTGAAAGGCAGAGCGTTACCTATCGAATAATAAAGGAGTAACTTAGGAAAGGGGAAAAACATCACTAAGACTGGCAAAGAAAAAAAAGTACTGAGCTTGGCTATTGAGAGGAGCTGCTTATAATGAGGTGGATTATGTCTGGGGGTGGTTTCCCAAAGGAAACAAGGAGGACTATAGTTGCAATGTGTGCGAGTAGGCTGGAGGCACTGTAACGCACTAGAAACATTAGGTAGACTAATGCACGTGTCAGACTAATGCAGGTGTCAGTCCATGCTATGTAGATTCCTCTCCTAATGCTGAGGAGTGGAAGTGGCTTATTTATTTATTTTCATTTCCTTTTTTATTTTCTGTGATCTTACAACCTTAAAAATAGCGGGCAGCAAACCTGCCACCAAGTGCAAAGCCAACTGTTTATGCAGATGGTTTTGATGCTCTGAGCTGGCAGAGAGATTTATGGACGTGCCTTATGCCAGAAGTTCTCAGTGGCTCCTTTTAGCTTAAAATAGAAACAGGAAAAGGGGTTTGGGAAACCATGACCCCGTTTACATGCACAAATGGGAGGCAAGCCAGCTGTGGCTGCAGCGACAGGGGATCTGCAGGTATTGAGAGGAAGAACACTTGGCAATCAGTTGTCTTGCTAGTGCTATCCTTGCTCTGGCATATTCAAATTGAGATGTTGCAGTCTGCTCTGGCACATTCCATGCACTGCCATAGGAGGAGTCACCTCAGAAAATCCTACACCAGTTTTCCACCGGCAGCAAGTTCGAAAAGGGAATTTCCCCAGGCCAATGCTGTCACATTTCTCTGAAGGGCGACTTCGTGGTCTTTGCTATTTATCTTATTTTACCTCTTATGGATTTAAAATTTTGCCAGAATTACTTTGTTTTTGGAGTATCGTTAAGTGGCTCTGTTTATTGCATTATCTTCCCGTTAAAATTGTGTAATAGGGAAGTCAGAAAGCTTGTGACCAGATTTTCATTTCGTCGTACAATGTTTATTCCTGTTTGTATTTAATAAAGGCCCTCAAAGATTGTTAAATTTGCTACCTGAGGTACGCAGAAGGATGGAGGAACTGAAAGGACAGTAACCTGGGGAAACAGAAATCCTTCTCCTGTGCCTGCTTTCTGACCATGTGTAAGGACCCACGTGATGCCCTGGGTTAGTAGTTGGTGGCTTTGGCCCTAATACAGGTCCCCACGCCTTCATCTGGGCTGTGGCAGATGCTGACAGGTGACGTGGGTGGAGATGTGTGCTTCCAGCCAGTGATTCAAGCCCTGAGGACTGCAGGACACCAGTTCTGCTGTCATCTTTTCCATTTACAGCTGGCTTGCTCTTTCCTCCTGCTTCCTGGACCTTTTGCTGTGCTGCTCCGCCCCACTGCTCAGTACCTCCATAAGGGCAAGTAGCTTCTGCCACTGCCTCCAGTGTCCCTCTGTACTCGTTTGGTTGGTCTTGTAGCCTCTTTCATTAAAAACTGTTACAAACAAAACAAAGTATTTCAACTTGCTATGAATTTGTAATGATTTTTATTGTCAGCTGGATTCAAAGTGTGTGGTTTTTTGTTGTTTTTTTTTTAAACTTTGTCACAGCTGAAAAACTCGTGATCTGCCCCATTAATGCCCCATTAACTTGCATCTAGTGTGACTGTTCAAGCGATGTGGATGCTTAGAAAATGAGTAAAGGCATGGGAAGTATTTGTATAAAAGAAATAGAAGCCAGGTGTCTTCTTGATATTAATCACCTGTCATTGCCATCACTGCAATGTCTTTGCATGTCTGTTGTGGACATGTGGCACTGTTATCATAAGCACTTGGGTTAAACGTGGGGAGGGCAGAGCCATGGTGCTAGAATGAGGCTCATCACTGCTCAGAGCACGGCTCCTTTCCTGCTTTCCTGTGTTCCTCCAGCCCCACACCAAAGGTACTTCCACTGTTCAGCTGGTTGTTGGCTTACTTGGCTACAAAGGGAAGGGCAGGAGATGCCAGTGACCATCTTGCTTGCACCCTGTCCTGCCATTCATTTATCTCTGTGGACTAGTTTGGATACAGGAAGTCTTTTCTGGGACATTCCTTCTGGCTCTTGATGACAGACCGTGGCCATCCTGTTTTCTGGCTGGTAGCTGGTTGGTTACATTGACAGATGTTGCAATGATTCTTTTGGCAATATTCTGTTGTGCTGACTGTTCAAACAGGAAATTCATCTTTTAGTATTTGCACATGTTAAATGTTTGCTTTAGTAGGAATCGCTCTGACAGCAGGCTGGTCAAACAGTGTATTTTTGGAGCGGCAACCTCTGGAATTCTCAAAGTCCTCATCGTCCCATAGATCTGCTGGGGCTTGGCTGGGAGCCCTGTTCCCTGAAATACCGCAGAACTGGCTTCTGAGGAGAGGCGACGTGAGCTGCTGAGCTCCAGGTTGCTGCTGTTTCCCTCCCTCAGGATGACGCGTTCCTGCATGTGTTGGATGGCACCTGGCTCGGATCGTGCCGTGGTGTGGCACTCTGGGACACCTAGGAAGGTTTGCTGTGTGATGGAGTCCATGCTGTCTCCATCCTCCCTTCGGTCTCCGAATGCCTGGCTTATCGAGGTGGCCTCTTGTCTCATGCTCATGGAAGAGAACAGGAAGGTGGCTGTGGTTGTGCTGCATGTGAGAAAGTGAGGACATGCTCAGGAAGCATGCAACAAGGACGAGCCAGAGAACTTAGTCTGATGAAGCAAGTTTTCATCTAAATCTACTTGTCTGGTGATAAGTCCCATTTCAGGTGACGTAATTTGGCCTTAGTAGGCTTCTCATTTCATGAACACTCTGTAAATGCCGGTGATTTAATGGAATGCATTCTAACTTGTTTCCTAAATTTTCACCAATCAAAACTGTGTACTGATTTGGGAGCTGGGAGTGGCTGTCTCATTGTAAGTAGTGGCATTAGAGATGCCCTGTTCGCTGAGGCCCATTCCTTCAGCTGAAGTTTATAGAATGTCAAAAGTTACAATATTTACTGCTTTTCAGCACAGGCAGCACACTTACAGATGACCTTATTATGGGAAGAAGCTGCATACAGACAGGCTTCTGCTACCCGTGGCAGAAAAAAGGTTTGATCTGAGCAGGACCTCTCCAGACCCCTTCACCCTCACTTGGGAGGTGAGAAACAGAGCACATATGAAAGCTGCTTTGTGACTTGCCAGTCTTTTGGCAGTACTTCAGAGCTACGGCTATTTTGAGTCATGGATCTTGGGAGTGGAAAAAGGCTTTGTGGCAAACCTAGCATATGCATTTCTGAGAAACACATTCGGTTCCTATATGGTTATTTTTGTGTGTTTTGACAGGAAAAATCGAACAGTGAGGAGAACATGCTCAGAGGAGTTGGATTACAGCTTACACGTGTATTCGAACCCAAAGTTACACAATTTCACGAAGAACTGTGTGCAGAAATGGTTTCTGATTTTGCTTACAATGGCCGAGGTATAAAATCCTTGTTATTTGTGAATTTGTAAAGGAAACATTTGCTAGGTGGTGAACTGCTGAAAAAGTTACACCTGCAAGAAGGTAGAAGAGTCCTTGGGAATTCAGTGCTGATTAGCACTGATGAAATATGTGATATGTGGTGAAATATGTCCTTCAAAAACTGACACTTATATGTTTTGGCGTTTGGAGCTTGCATTGGTTGTTCACCCATCAGTTGTATTATGGCACATATAGTTTCTAGAGCTTTACTGTCTTACATGCTGTGATAGTTTTACTGATCACCAGGATTTTAGTCTCCTTATCATTCTATTTTTATTTGCTAATTTTCTTCTCAAACGTCCTGATCTCTGAGTAACAGCCTTGCTTCTGGCAGAGTCGTGCTACTTCCAAAAGAAACATCACAGTGGTGTTTTCACGTATGAGCAAAAGTGCGTTGCAGGAAAAGGCACTGTCTTATAACAAAGTTTGGTTTTTAAGCTCAAAATAAGCAGGATTTGAATGTTATTTAACAACATTTTTGTGAGAAGGAATAGGATTTAGAAAAATGAACCGATTCTTCAGCCAGATCTGTCATGAATTGCAAAAGCAGCTGGGAGATTTGGCCTGAGAATCAAGGTTGTTTTTTCTTTTTTTCTTCATCAGAGTTTGTAAGAGATTTGGAGGGACATAACATTTATTTCCTACTTCCCTGAGCTTCAGTCCAGGCCTTGGAAAAACCCATCTGACAGTGAGTTTGTTTGTATATTTCAAATTTTTTCCTAAGTATGCTAGGCTCATTAGCAAGCCTTGGAAAATGCATACTTTGTTGAAGTTAATATGGAAAACAAGATACTGAGGGCTCAAATCTGTCTCCAGAATATAAATAAGCATACCTTCCTTTGGAGCAGGTTTTGACTGGAGTCATACTGGAACCCTTGTTTCTGGGAGAGTTACGAATGTGCTTTGCTAGGAAATGCTGTTCCTTAAAGAGCTCGTGAGGCCTACAGGGTCTACATGAATTCTGATCCTGCATGTGCATGGCACTAGGTGGCCTGAACAAGACCTCACTTGTGTTGGCAGGAGATGCTAATGGCAGGTACTTTGCCATGGAAGACCCTGGGATGCTTGGCTGCAACACGTCATGAGGACATGGCAGTGACAGCTCAATGCTGACCAGACTTCTTCAACCAATATGCAACACGTTTAAATGGCAGAGGAGCCCAACCAAAAGGTGTTGCTCAAAATGGTGCTTCGAAGGCTTAACCAGTGAAATAACTCTTGACATTGCATGAAGCGGTCATATTTACCTCTGCCTCTCCATTTCTATGATAATTTTTGAATTCAAAGATTGGATCTGAGAATTTCGTATGAATTAAATGTCTGTGTGAGCTCTGCTTCCCCACTTGGCACAAGGTGGTTGTTTCCTCCTGGATCAGAATTCATACTTTCCATTAAGCCAAAGTAATTTCTGTTCACCACTGTCACACTAAGTTGGGTCCTTTGGTGATCCCCTCATTCCAAAAGTCCAGTTGTTAAGTAAGCTTTGATTAAAGGGGTCTCTTTTTTAAGCCAAGCTTATGGCAATGTTAGCGAATGCTAAGAGAGCAGAACTGCAAGGTACTGAAGGACGTGGGGTGTCTCAAATTGCTGCTAGAGAAAAATGCATTCTGAGGCAATGTGTAAAGATTTTCATTTGAAACTTGCTCTGGTATTCAAGTCCCCCCAAGCAATGATGTACTTGGCTCTTCAGCTACTAACTAGAGGAGTACGTGCATGGCTCTGAGCATGGCACCAGGAGGCACCTTCCTGCTCTGATTGCTGAAGTACTTCAGGCTGCAGTACCATGTGGCAAACTGCAAAGTCCTTTTCACCATCCACTGCTCTGGCTGCAAGTATTCTTTATTATATTATGCCTGTGATAGAGGAAACATTTTCATCTTTACAGCGTGATTAGTTTTGTAGGGTTCAACAGCTTTCCACGTTGCTCTTTATCTGGAATCACATTGTGCAGCATCATTTAGTTGTGGTGAAGATAACAACATTATATGCTGTGAAGGGACAGCTAGATGAATGCTACCCCCCTCAGGTAAACTGTTTTTGTGCATGTGCAATTGTAAATGGTGGAAAAGAATGCCTTTCTGTATTGTCTGTAGCTCTATTTTTTGCAGCAAAACTGCATTTAGCTCACCACAACTAAGTGCACAGTTAGTAGAAGGAATGCTCTGCCTAAGTATCTGTTCAAAACCCTCTGTGTATTTGATTAAACCTTTCAGTAGCCAGCAAAGCTCCTGATGAATGCATGTGCAGCAAAACATTTGGACTCATATGCAGTGCTGCAGCTTAAGTTGGTTAATCCTAAACCAACAACTCCAGTAATAAGCAAATTTCTGAGCTAACTGTCGGATCAGACTTCAGCTATCTATTGCTGGTGTGCACTGAAGATCAGTGCTTTTCTCAGGCACTGGTGTTTTGATTTTCATCTACCTGCATGAGATGATGCTTTTTTTTTTTATTTTAATTGGGGAATTTGCATTCAGGAAAATTACACAACTCTCCAAAAAGGAACAGGTGTTCATAGCTGTTGGAAGAGGTCTATGTCTTCCATCACAGACCTGGCTTCTTCCTCAACTCATTTGCTCCAGGAGGGTTTTAAAACTGTTTTTTGTAAGAGGAAATGTACTGTCTTGTACTGAACAGAGGCAGAACTAATTTATTCTAACTTGGTTTTCATCTGAAGATGTTTTCTTGGGAATTGTAGCTACAGAATCAGGTAACATGAAGGGATGGACTGGGACCTCTCCTTTACAACTAATTATTGCTGTTTCTTCTACGAAAGTCATGGAAAAAGTCCCTCCCATAATTACCTTATAATGAATGTCTCATTCCTTTGCAGAAACCAGTGTGCAGTAATTATTTCTTAAAAGTTCTGATTGCTTCTCTGACCCCTAGATAAGTATCATCAGGATCACTAGCAGCCATGGAAGGCAGCTCTGTCTGCACAGAAGTGGAACGTGCTTGGTTCCATGAGCACATGCTGCTGGAACGTGTCAAGCTTTTGGTCTACCAGAACCCCCACGTCCTTGTCCACAGGGCTGCTCTCCAGGAGATCTTCTCTCAGTCTGTACACACATCTGGGATTGCTCTGACCCAAGTGCAACAGCTTGCACTTGGCCTGTTGAACCTTGTAGGTTCACGTGGGCTCACTTTTCAAGCATTTCCAGGTCCCTCTGGATGGGACCTTCCTCTGCTGCACCTCTGCAACACTCAACTTGGTGTTGTCTACACATAGCCTGAACAAGATCAGATGAGGTGAGCATTTCAGAGCACAGCCAGTCCCACTGTGTCAGGACCACCTGGGGGAACAGCACTGACACCCCTTCACTCCTTGTGTCATCGGGGTCTTCGGAAGACTTCTCCCAGGAAAGCCTTTAAGTGAATTTCCTGCTGCTGCTCATTAATGTTTTGCTAGTTTTAATTTCTTCCTTGTCTTGTATCACTAATCAAGAAGTAATTGAATTAGCTGAAAAGAAGGATAAGACAAATTGGCTGAGAAGAATTAACTGTGTGCACCCGAGGTCAGCAGGCTCCTAGAAAATTCAAGGTGAGAATTAGTTGGACTATAACTGAGATTCAGCGGGAAGTTACTAAGTTCTCTGGAGAATCAAGATGCAGAAATGCAAATGACAGTCTAACCATGAAAACCTAGCTATATCTGAAAGTATTTGGGCAATTCCTTTCTATTTCAAGACAGGAGAGCAAAGGACAGCACTTACATTCTTTCCAACTGCTTTGTTTAATGAAGGGAATTTCCCTGAAGTTTGACTTTTCATCCTTGTGTGAATCGGCTTTGCCAGGAAGATATTTCTCCTTCTGTATTGATATTAAGGCAGTAAATTGTCTGTCCCTGCTTTCACTTGCTCGACTTTTTTTTTTTTTTCATGGTTGCTCTGTAATTTAAGTTCATCTTTCATGAAAACCATATGTTGGATTAAAGGCAGGGTATTATTTTCATGCATTGTAATATACTCTGTTAGCTCCTCCATTACAGTGCCATGTTAAAGTAATTATTATTCCACGTGTCACTGTGAATGCGTTTAAGATTCTTTAGGTCTTCTCTAGCAGGAGCTGATTTCCACTCCTGATTAACTGCTCTCATTCTTTTTATACGTCGGAATTAGCTAAGCATAAGCTTATAATTATTTTACAGGAAGACTTTTAGAAATATGAAAAAGTCATGCTAAAATAATTAGAAAACGAATTAGATTGCAATTCATGAAAACCGTAAGCTAATGACAGTAATTAACTTAATACTTGACAAAACCTAAATAAGCATAACTAAGTAATGATATAAAGAAAGGAAGTTTCAGTCTTGAACAGAAATGCCTTAAAACAGTTGAAAGAAGCAGTTTATACTATTGCATTTGTTTGATCATTGTATTTGCTCTTTTGGAGAAAGGCTGAAACTAGTTGGCTTCTACAAGTTTATGAGCTTGTTTTTCTGTAGCAGGACTAAACTGACTGTACTGAAGGCATAGAAAGAGGCCCCATTCGATAACCTTATCACTGATACTCTCCTTTCACCAAACCTCAGCTGTAGCCGTATTAAATAGAAGCACAGAAAATGGTGTAGTAACCTCACCATCTGCTCTGCAGCTTAGTTTGTGTTCTGCAGTTGGAGCTGAAAATACGTTGCTTCAAATTGTGAGTTAAGTCGCTGAAATGAGATGGGACCCCTGCAGCCTAATCCATAGGAACCAGCCAACTCTTTTGAGTTTCCCGTGTTTGATTAGTTGTAATGTAATTAAAGAAATTACCAATAGTCCGCTGTCTGGATGTGATTAACTCACCAAGTGCTCGTACCTATATTCTTTGAGCATCTCCAAATAATTTAGGGCCTCATTTATGTTCCTTAACAAGGAAATAAATGAAAATCGTCTACAGCCTTAATACAGTGGCTTGTGCTACAAGCTGTTCTATCTTGTGCCTTGGTGATGCCTGCTCAATTGTTTCTGATTATGCTGCATTATAATTAAAGAACCAGAAATGCTATTTGCCTAAATGAGAACATGCTGCCCAGTACAGGAGGGAGGGAAGGAAATCAGATAAAGATGAGAGCCTTCTAAGCAAATCAAACCCAGAATGTCTGATGATGCTGCACATAGACGTGGAGCTGTGGATGGGACTGCTTTAGCTGCTGGTAAATTTCTTCTGGGCTCTTCAGAATTGGAGTTTTTGATGATAGTGACTTTTGTTCTTAAAATAAATGCAGGTCAGGTTGTTTTTGAAGAGCAGCAAAAGGGTGCATTCATGCTTGCTGCTGCTGTCCCACTGCCCTTGAGCTCTGTTGCTCCCTGAGCTTCGTGCTTTCTTTCTAACCATGCGTACTGGAAGGTTGGGAAAAATCCAAGCATGCACGTCCCATGAGCTGGGCAGCACCTGGGGACAGCACAGGGATGCAGCTGCAGATCTGCTTGGTCCCTGCCGAGTGCTGGCTTTCAGCACAGCCTGCTGCCTGCCGGGACAACCTGACAGCAACAGCACATTGTGTGAGAAGTAACCTGATTTTCTCCAGGATGGGGCAGAGCAGGGCTCATGGAAATGAAGAAGGGCTGATGGGATGTTTTTGTTTTGTCTGTCAGATGTGTTCTGATGATATTCCTGTGTGTTTTCACAGTAAGTGAATGTGTAGCTTGCACCCTGAGCTGCCCTGCACATCTTTGAGGTGATGTGGTTCCACGCTGACCCAACACTCCTACAGTCTATCATGTAGCTTCTTCTACCCACAGAGTGAGGAGAACAGGGAGTTAACCTTCTGTAATGTGAACATTAATGCAAATCATAGAATGGCCTGGGTTGAAAAGGACCACAATGCTCATCCGGTTCCAATCCTCATCTGCTGAGTGCAGGGTAACCAACCAGCAGACCAGGCTGCCCAGGGCCACATCCAGCCTGGCCTTGAATGCCTGCAGGGATGGGGCATCCACAGCCTCCTTGGCAACCTGTTCCAGTGCCTCACCACCCTCTGTGTGAAAATGACTTAAAACAAGCAGCACTGTGTGACAGGTGTCACGAGGAGAGATGAGATGCCACATTCAGTAGGTTCTTGAGGCACTCTGCACTACTTTGGGTGAGACCACAAAGTGCTTGTTACCAGTTCTAGAAATGGTATTGGAAATAGATGAGTGCTTATAGATTTGGATTATGTTTGTTGTTAGCTACTAAAATAGCTATTAAAATAGTTGCTGAGATATTTGGTGGGGCTTTTACTTGGCAGAGCATTTGTATTTGATCTCACTGTTATATGCATTACACTTCTGTAATACATAAACAGAGCTTTTCAATGCACAGAGCCTATTCTATCCCACTGAAAGACTAATTGATAAGAAAATCACCCATCTGTGGAGAGCAGCATTTTCTTGGGACCTGATAGATCACACTGTGCACATTTCCTTAGCTCCTCCACGAACATTTGCTGTTATACACTTCAGTTGCTTGCACCAGAATTTGTGTTATTCTGGCATATGACATGTAGTAAGGGGCTTTTACAGTAAATAAAATGTATGGCTTCATTTGCTGCAGTGTGCAAATGAAAGCTCTGTGACGTGTCATACGGGAACAGCTGCTTACTCAGCATCTGGCGTTGGCTGCTGATTGTCCTCCAGCTGTAGAAACAAAAGATTAGCAAATAAGTAAATCTGTGTGGGAAGTCTGACTGCCTTGTGCAAGGCACTACCTTCTGTATCTCGCCGTGGCATTACAGTCACTGCAGGTTTGATAGACACATCACTGGACTTGGAGTAGAACCTAAGGCTCAGCAGGGTTGGTGGCCTGTCCTCACACCAAATGGGGGATGAAACTGGAAGCTGAAGAACCCCTATCTGCAAAGTGCATTTCCATCATCTTGTTTTCTCTAATTTGTCTGTTTTGGTTGCAAATTCTCAGGAGGCAGAAGCTGTCTCATCCCGTGGGTTACTCAGTGCTCAGTACAGCATGTCTTCATCATGGCTGGTATTTCTAAGAATTACAGCTTTTCCAAACAAATATGCATCACGGGGAAATAATAACGCTCATCCTTCGTGAATGTCCTATCCAGCATTGCAGGGATTAGGTGGAAATAGAGGATAAAACTACTTTTCTGGTTCTAAAAATAATTTTTCTGGGTCATGTGGAAAATCATTGTGGAGGTTATTTGTGGGAGTTCAAATGTTCAGTTGTTCTACTTTCCTTTTTCTAGGAATTACTGCATGGCAGCGTGTCAGCCTCCAAAATTCTCAAAAAGCCCATGAAAAGAGCTGCTGTATTTCCTTTGGAAAAACAGGATGGCAGTGTAAGAAAAAAAAAAATTAAAAGTGTTAGAATGTGTTACAGCTTTACTTTATTGGGGATTTGGAAATGTCAGAGAGTTTCGGATGTACTGATGGGTGTCACCATTCAAACTGGACACGGAATTCATTTGAGGATGGAGTTTGTTGTCCTCAACGCCTTGTGACCTGCTGTGAGGACAGGGGTGCTGCCCAGCAGTGGAAACGTGTCAGTGGAAAATCACGAGGTTTTCTTTGAGGAACAATGACATTTTTCAAAGGTTAGCAGCGTGCAGTAAAGAAAGTCAATGAGATGACAGCTTGGACAATCCTCAAAGCCAAGGCAGAGCCACTGGTGTGCCTGGCCTGGGATGCACAGCCGTGAGCGAGGCTTTGTGACAGCAGTAACCTGTAAAGCTTGAGCAGAGGAGGTGGCTTTCCTGAAAGCTCCTGGCAGAGCCAGGCTGCTGAAACAGCAGGACTGCTGACCAGCAGTTCCTGCTCTCTTTACTGTTTGCCAAAACGTAATTTATTATTATTTTTTTTTACAGCCAGTGACTGAAAATAGGAAAAAATAGAAGAGCGCGATGCGGTGCTGGCACAGCGCATAGCAAGTCGTTTCCTGATATTAAAACAGTTGTCAAGCCACAGGTCGTAAGCACTGCCATTTGCAATTCTTTCTGTTGAATCAAAGGAAGTCAGATCTGATTATACAGCAGATAGGTTACTTCTAAGTAGAAGCAGACTTTTAAAGGCTACTTTGCTCTTTTTTGGCACTGGATGTTTAATTATAATTAAAAAAAAAAACCAACAAATCAAGAGAGGAGTTTCTGTCTCTTTGCCCTCTTTAATGTTTTCCAGCACAGAATGCCTCTTAAATAGTTGCATCATTAACATTTCTCCTCCTCCTCTGCTGTGGCACCGGCTGAGAAGATGCTGAAGCACAGGTGCTTGTCACCTGCCTGAGGGCGGGCGCACAGCCAGGAACTGAAGCACAGCAATCTGAGCAGCTGTAAGCCGATCTCTTCAGCCTGAGTTCATTTACTTGGCTCCAATTTGTAGTCTGCCTTAATACACGTTTAGCAGTGAATCTGGCAAAACTGAAAACTGTTTGCGCTATAAAATACAACTTTCTAGCATGGTATCAAAACCTGATGATAAATTTGACACGCTGGGAGGCAGAGGTTTGGGTCAGAAGAAAGATGACTTAGAACTAAGTCAAGCTAAATGCTGAAGGGAACTTGGCATAGTAAAACTGCCATAGGCAGGGGAAAATTATGACTTTACTGAAGAAGAGAAAAAAAGCTTTACTACTGGCTTCTGACCTTATTGGCTTCTCAAATGTATACAAGGGAATGGAGAATAATTACCAAACAATTTGTAGTGAGAATTGGCTGCTCCATGTCGTGCTAGATGCACGTGCTGCCTTCGCTGCAGCATCCTCTGCCAGCGCTTCCCTCTCTGTGCGCTGCTGCTCGCGATGCAGAGCCCCAGCTGGCGGCTGCCAGCAGCTCTGGAAACGCAGGGCCTTGGGCTGCAGGCTGGAAATTCTCGTTTCCAGGAGCAGCTTAAGGCCTGTGGAAAACTCCCACTGACTTTGCTGGGATTATCCATCTGCGGAAAGTTATTTGGAGGGAAGTGCATTCCTTTGTAGAGCGGCTGGCAACAGGTCCGGGCAGCGCTTCGGTCTCAGTTCTGGTGTGTTGTTTTTGTTGGGCTGTGTTCATTCTGTGCCTTGCACAATGGGGCTGTGCTCCATCACTAGAGCTTGCACTTTCCATTTTAGTCTAATAAAAGTAGGATTAAAAAAAGAAAGCCCAGCTTGAATGCCCAGATGTTTTCGGATATCAGACCCCTAGGGCTCTTGTCATGTTTGTGTCTTTGAACACACCTGGAGAGCTGAGAGCACAGCTCTGCCTGAGCAGCATGGATGCACCGTGACCTATCTGTTGTCAGAGCATTTGGGGTCTCAGGTGAGGAAAATTGCATTGTACATGGAAAATGAAATCAGGGACAATGCTCTTCCTTTGTTTTCTGAGCATTGCTGTTACTTACACTCTTCTCATATTTTTACATTTCTCCTTATAGTTGTTTTGTGATCTCATTCCTCCACGTAATTTCAAAAGTACTCCAATATTTAATTGGAAGGTTGAGGAGAGAAGTCCCCAAGCTAGCTTGTTTCAGGAGAATGTTATCTGCTGTCTGCTCTTTTCTGTGAAGCTCCAAGGCAAAGAATCCTATGCTGCATTTACACTTAAGAGTTTGCTAGTAAAAATACCCTTCTTCCTGAGGTTATTTAAAATGAGAGCCTACATTTCTCACATCCTACTGTTGTCTGAAATACAAAATCCCATCCTCTATTGCTATGCCAGAAAATGTTAGCGGATAAAGTGCCGAGCAGGTCACAGTATTTCTAATTCAGATTAATGACCCCATTCAGCTTGTCTCCTTAGCAGGAAATTAGAAAGTGCTGGGAAGGAGAAAATAGTGATTCATAATGCGTGACTCTTTGTATTGGCAGTTGCACTCATTAAACACTAAGATACTGTTTTGATATAAAATAATTGAGTCTGACTTATTTATGGGATATGTCTGTCTCAGCTTGTAGAGTTTCCCTGGAAAGACTGCTGGCTCTGTGCCCCAGTGGAGGAAAAAGAGGTGACTGGTGCCCATTGGCAACCCCTGGCCAGGTGAAGCACGAAAGAAATGCACAGAAAATGACCACTGCTGCTCTTCTTAGAGAGCCTGAGAAGGGAAAACACCTTCTTCAGGAAGGTTTGGAGCAGTCAGGGACAAAGGGATGGTAAGCCACCTGGGAAAGCAGCTTACACTGACTGCGTAATTTGATAACTGCAGTTACAAGAGGATGACTCCTCACATCTGCATGGCTCCTGGCCTCTCTGGGCTAGATGTGGGTACAACGATGGTCAGTCGTGTGTTCTGGGTGCGTCCTTCAGGCTGAGCCCAGGATACAGCTCTGCACCCCTTTCTGCTCCCCAGCCACAGCCTCTCCTCACCAGGGGGTGCCAGCCTTCCTCCGGCCTCACGCACGTGCGCCATCACTTGGTATGAAGACACCCCATCCCTGGAGGCATTTAAGGCCAGGCTGGATGGTGGCTCTTGGCAGCCTGGTCTGCTGGTTGGCAACCTGCACATAGCAGGGAGTTGAAACTGGATGAGCATCGTGGTCCTTTTCAACCCGGGCCATTCTATGATTCTATGATTCTATGATTTTGGCTGGAGAAAGCGTCCTGGTTCCAGAGCAATTACCCTGAAGTTTGTGTAGAAATGTGGGAGAGTTCTCTCCTTTTCAGAGCTTGGTTCCCTGGGGAATGCTGCAGCTCGCCGTTCTTAGGGTTTTGCTCCTACTTTTGAGTTCTTTTTTCCTACCTAGCAGTGCAGCTCCAGCTCCTTGCTATGAAAGATGGCAAGAAGGATAAATGCCAGTTGCAGAATCTCTGATGTGTTCCACAGATTTGTAATCAGCAGGCTGTCCGTACTTGGAGCTGTGGTAAAAAGGGTTGTCAGTACTACTGTTCTGTGAGGAGCTCAGGTTGGTTTGTGCCTGTTCATTTGGAAATAAATATGCAGTGGGCTGAGCTCAGATGGGCAGAAAAAGGACTGTGGGTCAAAGGGGACCAGAGGGTGTGAAATGTCAGCAAATAGGAGGCAAGGTGTGCCAAAGGCTAGGGTGCAAATGACCTTGGATTTTCAGATTTGTATCAGTATTGTGCCAGACTTTCAGCATTTGTATGAGTCACATATGAAATCCCATAGTTGGTGTCTTTAAAAAATATTCATTTATTTACTCTGGGTTTGGCTCGTGATCTTTAAGAGCTGTAGCTACTGAATGCTAAGAGGTGGCCCTGTTCACAGCCTCATGCTGCCTTGATTGAAACGCTGAGGTCAAAGGCCAGCAGGAGCCAAAGGTCTCTGCAAGCTAACCATATGCACAGGCTCACCGAGCTCTTCTCCCTCTGTGTCATGAAGACAAATGGCTTTTTTAAGAATTCTCCCAATGAACTGGCATTCATTTTCTGGTGTCTCTTCCTTCTTTATTGCTTCCTAATGAGCTTCATTCCCATCACCTCTAGCCTCCTGCTCTTGAGTCTGCATTTACACCGATGCATAGAAGAGCAGCAAATTGAACAAATTAATTAATTAAGTTGGCCCGTCTAATGAAAGGAGCTCTGATGACTCTTGGGTTTTCCCCTCTTGCTTTTTAAAGAAATCTTCTCTATATCTTTAATGACCACAGTTGCTAGGCTTTTTCTGTCCATAGGCTCTGCAAGAACACCAGATTCTCTTTGCGTGGCGTTTTGGGCTTAACTGAGAACACTGAGAACACTTCTTCTCTGTGTATATTTTTACACATGCACACATGTATATATGTGCAAGCAGATGTATTTTTATTCTTTATTTGTGTATTTCTGGCTGTTACTTTGCTTGCTTGTTTATTATTTTAGCAGTGGAATTTTCATGAAAGTGCTATTCAGGAGCTATTTGGAGTGACAGCTGTTCCTGAAGAGGGAATCCGTGCTGTTACAGAGCTTCCTCTCTGCCTGGTCTGGCTGGGGTCTATTTGTGCTCCTGTTTGACCCATACTGCTTTGTTTGCAATCTGCACTCTCTGGGCCAGACCAGCTGATTCAAAACTAAGCCTTACCTACACGTCCTTCTCCTTTCCTTCATGTATCCTTTTTAGACCTCTGGGAAGTTTGAGAGTGAGCTGGCACCAACGGTGCCTCCTGACACGTTCCTAGCGAAAACTGCACCCAGGTATGCTCATGCTTACATTGCCTTTTTTCCTTTCCCCAGCAGTATCACTACTGGGAGGAGAAGGCAGCAGTTTAAAAATGTAAAATTCCACTTATTTCAATGAAGTGTTGCTGAGCAGATCTGGCCCCACGCGTTTGTGCTCCTCATTACCATGGCCTTATGTTTTACGTCAGGTGAGGATGTTGACTTTGGTGCTGCAAGTTGCCTGTGTATAAAATGCATACGGCACCTCCGTGTGTAAATTACTGTCTTTACATTGCTTTTAGAAACTCCCAAGGTGTGAAGGAGCATGATGAAAACAAGGAACTTGCAAGCGTTAAGCGTGGATCTAAGAAAGGGCTCTTCCAGTCCTGACCATTTCTTCATGTAAGCACTGTCTGTAAGCTTGCACTGCATGGCAGTGGAGCCCTGGTGAGTTGGAGCTGTTAACCAGGTGTTACCATCAGGCCAACCAAGTTTACCCTTGGAAAAGAAAAATCATGACAGCTGTGCTTTTGTTTCTTATCACCAGTGCCCTTTGCTGCATATCTCTGCTTTCTTAGGAGGGTTTTCAGGCTGGTTACAGATGAATGGGATTAATGGCCTCCACCTGATTTTTACAAGATAGCTATTTAATCCAACATTTCTAAGTGCTGTTTCCTAACACAGTGCTACTGTTACCAGATGAAAGCGCTGTGGATTCTTTCCAAGGAATATGTGAATAATTTTAAATTGCTCTGCTGAAAGTGCTTTTGCTGAGCCTTTTCCCCTTCCTGTCTGCGCTGCGTTTTCACTTTGAAGTAATAAATACATATAGTCTTTTGGTGTCTAGCTACTTACCCTGCTCATTTTCTTCCTTTTTATTCCACAGCTCATCACTTCATTATACCTGAAAAACAGTGAAGCTTCTGTGAAGGCTCTACGAAACACAAGGATGTAATTCCGTACCCATAAGAGGAACTATCTGAAATTCAGTAGTGGTTAACAGATCTGTGTGCAGAATTGCTAGTGGGAATCTGAACCTGATCCAGCTTTCAGTGTTGGTACTTGTTAACTTCATTAGAATTATTACGTGATCACAGAAGCACAGAACTGTAGGGGTTGGAAGGGACCTCCAGACATCATCGAATGAGAAATATCAATTTAGAACTTGTCCTTCTGCACCTCTTTTATTCACTGTACATAGCACTGCAAAAGGAACGTACAAAATTTTGTTTCTGCTTCTTTCATCATGTAGTTTATCCTGCTGTACTTTACCATTCTGCTACTAGAAGGTCTGGAGATGGAGGACAAATACACGGCTATGGAATCCTTGTGCACTTGATACAGTCTGGATGATGGGTTTCCTTTATTTACACTTCTACTTTATTCCCTGGGTGTGAATTTGTTAGCACAAACTCCAAAGAAGTGAAGGATATCCAGAATAAAGCAAAAGCCACAACTGGGAGAGAAAGTTTCACCAAAATTCTTTTAAAAGACGTCCTCTTTTTATTCCTGTATTTTCTTATGTGCTCTTACTTCTTTTTGTGCTCCTTCTGCCTCGCTGATAGAAAGGACATAAATGGCTCTCTGTGCGAGAATAAGAGTGCAAGAAAGTGCTGCTGAAGACATAGGCTGAATCTGTGCTCCTAACAATGTCAGCTGTGGAAATAAGACTTGCTGCTTGAAAAGCTGCCTATTGGCATTTTTGTTTTTCCTTTTAATTAGAGAG